CATCTTCGAGCAACACCACAGGCCACAACACACACCCACCACATCTCCATATCCACCTACACCATTGAGAACAAAAAAACCTCAAAAACCACATCCACCACCATCGCTCAAAACTGCAGATCCACTCTCGACCCGCTACGCCAGCACAAAATGGATGGTGAAATCGCTGCTTGTTCGCTGTTGGGAAACCTGGGTAGCAGCGAAATCGCTGCTGGGAAGGAAAATGTCCCAGCAGCGAAATCGCTACTGGGAAAACTGCTGGTTTTCGCGCTGCTGGGAAAAATGTCCCAGCAGCGATTTCGTTGCTAGGCAGTAGCGAGAGGAGGGAGGGAGAGGAGAAGGGAGGCAGCGGCGGTGGTCGATTATGGAGGAAGAAGAGAGGGTGAGAGAAAGTAGTGAGAGAAAAGATGGATTGAAAATGAATTAAGGTTTGAAATATTAGTATTATAATATTATTTAAATATTTAATTCATACCTGATTTTTGATTAGATAAAACTTGTACCTGAATTTTGAATTACGAAGTTTAAATAACTGGTTTTTTGTAATTTCCACTTATGTTTTCCCATCCCCTTCCCTTTTCTAATAAGTTGAAAGGAATCCATACTCAACATTAGACATGTCAAAATGGCCCGGCCGAGACTAGCAAGCCCGCATGGGACGGGGCCGGCCGTTCGGCCTGCTCAGCCCTTTTTTTTAATTATTAATGAATGGTAAAAAATACATTTTATAATTAGAGTGAAAATCGATAAAAGTTATATAAAAATAAATTTTATATTGATTTATTTTTCAATAAATTTTACATCAATAACATAAAAACTTATAATTTTTCGAACAATATTTTGTCTAACTTGACAAATTAAACAATTTGAACTATTTATAAACTTATAATTAAATTACATCCTAACTAGGTTGGCAGCTACTTAACTATAATTTCGTCATTACAATTTAGATTATATTCATCTATGGTAAGATTTTTAAAGTCTTGAGCAATATCGTCAGCAAATTTATCTTGCATTCTTCTATCTGCAAATAACCAGTCTTTCACACAGATGAGAGCTTCTAAAATATCTTCCTTAAGTCTTGATCTTCTTTCATCGAACACTCTGTTACTTGCACTAAAAGCAGACTCTGATGCCACTGTTGAGACTGGAACTGTTAGTAGATCTCAGGCCATTTTTGATAATATTGAATATGACCGTTCATTTAACTTCCAACATTGTAAAACATCTAAGTTGTCAACTTCTTCTTGTGGAATTAAACTGTAGTAATCAAATTGATAATATATTTCTAATTCAACGGTGTAACATTCTCATTTGAAAATGAACTATTAGATGAAGTAAAAGACACGTTGCGTTTCTTGGCTATTAAAGAAAAGAAAGAACTTTTACTTTTAGAAGATGTAGCAGAACTCGTATTAGAAGGAACATTTTCATTATTACCATATTTCATAGCATAACTATTGTACATTTCATTAATAAAACATTCTATTTCCCGATTTGTAATACTTATATTGAAAGATAAAGTTTCAGAAAGTTGGTCCATAGTACACTGAACTCCAAAAAATTTAATACGAGGATCCATTACAGCTGCATTGAAAAAATCATTGGCATATTTTCGTAATACTTTCGAAACTTGTTCTCCATTGTACAAACAATATCATAGAAAAATGGATTGTCTTTATGACTTGAAAATTGATTAGCAATTTCTACAAATTGTAAAAGCACAAGATTACTTGTTGGATAATAAACTTCGGAACTAGTTTTTAATGCCTTATAGAATGGTTTCAAATAATTCATGACTTTAAACGCAATATTCCAATCAAAATCATCTATATGAAATTGATGTTGATTTGAGTTAACGAAATCATTAATAGCATCTGTATAACCAACACACGATTTTAATATAAGAAATGTTGAATTCCACCTATTTGGAATATCATCAATAAATTTTCTTCTCCTTAATCAAAGATTTTTACAAATTTTTCCAAATTCTTCCTGTCTAAAATCTGAACAAGAAATGTAGTTAATAGCTTCTTTAATTTTATGTATTTGTGGTGTTATTAATTTTAAACCATCTTGCATTACTAAATTATATATATGACAAACACACCTCATATGAAATAATTTAAAGTCAAACGATGGATTAAGTGTCCTTTTCAAAAGTTCAATGCATGCAGTATTTGAATTAACATTATCAAAACTAATGCTAAATAATTTGCTCAATACATTAAATTCATTAAAAACTTGTAATAAATTCTCACACAAATTTATTCCATTATGTGGATATTCAAGTAAGCGAAAAGCAATAATTCTTTTGTGAAGTAACCAATTATTATCAATAAAATGTGCAGTAACACATGTATAACCATTGTGATTACGTCCAGACCAATACTCAGATGTAAAACACATAACTCCATCAAAGTTGTTAAATTCAATTTTTCAATTTTCAGTTATTGTATGAAATAATTTCAAGATATCTGAGCGAGCATTATTTCTACTTACAGACCGATAAGCGTGTTGAACACACTTTTGCATAAACTCCTCAAAGTATCGATCTTCTGCGAAAGTAAAAGGCATCTCGCTTGCTACCAAAAATTCAAACATTGCTACTCTCATTCGATCCTACGAATAACAAAAATTAGAAAAAGTAATTGTTCCAGTATTAGTAAAAGAAGTAATTTGAACTTGTTTAGTATCTAAATGTCCTATTGTATTCATGTGTTTATCTTTGTGTTTTCGCAATGTGCTAGTGTCTTGACCTTTAACCCATGCATAACTCTTTCTGCAAAGAGTGCATATTACTCTTTTGTTTAATTCATCTATTGTAAAGATTTTCCAAACATCAGATGTGTACTTTTTATTCATTCGTTGTTGAGAAGATCCAATATTTGGATCATTATCATCTTCCAAATTTATTGGATAACAACTATCATGTAAATTGGCATTTCTTGAAAAAAAAATCGTGAGAATTTATAACACTTTAACAAAAATTTTAGAAATAATAAGATGAAAAGAAAGCACAAAATATTAAATATTAAAAATACTTGCTGAAAATATTAAGAGAGAACGAGAAAATAGAGATTTCAAGCTTGTAGATTATGAGAGTTTACTATTTTTCCCTTCACAATACCACAATTTATAACAAAAAAAAAAATAATAATAATATTACCGTTACTATGCATTGAAAAAATAAATAAATAAATAAAAATAAAAATTTCAGTCAAAACGGTCACATGACCGTTCTGACTGACTGTAGGCTGCAGCCTGCAACCTGCAGTCAGGCGCTTGCAGCAGCGTTGTTGCAAGAGCTTTTTTTTAATTTTTTTTTTTTATTTTTAAAATCGGGCCAGCGGTTAAACCGGCCTGGACCGGTTCAAGGTCCGGGCAGCCCGTGATTCGGCCCACACGGTTCATGGGTCGTACCGCTGGCCGGTTCGCCTCCGGACGGGCATCTTGACAACTCTACTTAACCTGTCGGAACCATCCATTGACCTATGCAAAATATGAGTGCCTAAGTTACAATTAGTTGCAATGGTTCTCTATCTTGAAAGTTTGGTAAGAAGGGAAACTCTTCGCCAACATAATTGGAAATACATAGACGTTTTCCCAACTCAATACATAGATGAGATGCAAGCATATGTAATCAACCTCTATGATGAGTACAATGAAGATTGATAGAATCCAAAGCGCCTATTCTACAGTGTCAATCTTGAAGATTACGGTCACAAAAATGCAGGAAAACACAGTGGAAAAAGAGTACCTAGAGCGCGTCAACGCTCTTTTTCTGATAGGGAAAGGGAACCATGCGAAATGCTAAAATAAAGTATTAGCACGTGATGTGTATCAAAGGTATGAATCTTTTTTTGTCATTTGAGTTGACAATGAGAGTTTAATTTCTATATTGATGGAAACCGTCTAATAGGCACTTGTAACCATACAAATCTGAAAAGTTGAAGACCTACTCGTAACAATAATTTGCACTTGTAATTGGCTGTCAACTTGTGACAGTAGGGCCAATATAGTTTGATTTGGTTGTCCCATAACATGATCAGACCATGACAGCAAATTCCAATGCTAATATTGCCTATTGGATTATTATTTGCCAATAATAACTGTGAATCACCCAGTTCTTTTGTGCTGAACTCAAAAGGCTAACAGGTAAATGCTCACAATATTTCAATCAAGCCATCACTAAATATCATCACAATTTTTTCAGTTTCCTCCTGGACAAATTACAATTTCGGGGAACTTGATACATATATTAAGGTTCAAGTTTCAATTCGATATTTGCAGAGTTGATTATACCTCTCGAAAACAAAGATTTGAATATGATAATCCGTATGCTAAAAGTATGCACGCACTTTATTTCAAAGAACAATCACATCTCCAGACTTCTTTTGACAATCACCCAAAAGAAAAGGATGAATCTATCATACATTAATCAGGTTACATATATCGAATAACTTGAATTTTGGAACATTTCAAAGCATGACAGTCCAAGACTAAGATATAAGTATCCCAGGATCGACAATCCTAACCAATGCAATCAGCTTTGAAAGAGAATGAATTCAAAGGGGAATAGTATCAACAATGGCCTCCAGTGTCTTCTTCTCCAATTCCGATTCATCAACCCAAATTGAACTTTGTCTATGCAGAAGCTCCTTCTTCTCTTTCTTCTTCTCCTCAATTTTCGTTTGTCTCACCCTCCAATATTCAAGCTTCTCTGCTCTTTCTTTCACCTGCGTCATAAGAATTACAGCATATCAGGCACAAAGCATGGTGTGCTAGGTCAAATCGTTTAAGAGATCAAACCATTAAAGGCAGAAACTTTTAAAATTCCATCTAATGTGGATTACTATATATCATGTTTATAAGAAACTTCTTGATCGTATTGCATCCTAAACCCCCTAAAAAGACTGAATGATAAATAAAAAATGATTGGTCATGTCTTGGGTTTGCTCCCCAATGGTCATCAGTTCGAGTCCCCTCATGGCCACTAAGGTGAGTACCCGGCCGTAAACTTCAGGACCCGTGGGATTAGTCAAGGTGCACGGGCCGTGAACTTCAGGACCCCGTGGGATTAGTCGAGGTGCACGCAAGCTGGCTCGGACATCCACGGTTATAAAAAAAATGATAAATAAAAAAGGATAAAAACAGACCTATGGAAAGAGAAATAATTCAGATTTAAGTCCAGATGCCTCAACATTCAAGTAACTAGTTTCACACCCAGAAAGGTGATAGAGATCTAGATACCACACGACATATAAAAACTCAACCAGATTGCAGATTATCTTCTTCAAGTACATCTGCTCTTTCTTTCACCTGCGTCATAAGAATTACAGCATATCAGGCACAAAGCATGGTGTGCTAGGGCATATCGTTTAAGAGATCAAACCATTTAAGGCAGAAACTTTTAAAATTCCATCTAATGTGGATTACTATATATCATGTTTATAAGAAACTTCTTGATCGTATTGCATCCTAAACCCCCTAAAAAGACTGAATGATAAATAAAAAATGATTGGTCATGCCTTGGGTTTGCTCCCCAATAGTCATCAGTTCGAGTCCCCTCATGGCCACTGAGGTGAGTACCCGACCGTGAACTTCAGGACCCGTGTGATTAGTCGAGGTGCGCGGGCCGTGAACTTCAGGACCCCGTGGGATTAGTCGAGGTGCGCGCAAGTTGGCTCGAACATCCACGGTTATAAAAAAAATGATAAATAAAAAAGGATAAAAACAGACCTATGGAAAGAGAAATAATTCAGATTTAAGTCCAGAAGATTTAAGTCCAGATGCCTCAACATTCAAGTAACTAGTTTCACACCCAGAAAGGTGATAGAGATCTAGATACCACACGACATATAAAAACTCAACCAGATTGCAGATTATCTTCTTCAAGTACGTGTATTTAAATCAATTAGATTGCAAAAAATTGAACTTGATTTTAAAAAAAAAAGTGTCATAAAATTAGCATGCGCCACCAACCATGCCCAATTTGTTTTTAAAGAAATTTTTTTTAATGAAAATCCTTTTTTCTTAAATGGATTTTTTTTTTTCAAGGTAAAAGAAAAGAAAATTGTCAATGATTTTAGCATATGTTTGGCTCATGTTTATAAAATGTATACATACATTTAATCCACTTTTTTATCCACATGTTTCAAGGAACCCACTAGTGTTATCTACTTATCCATCCCTATGTATATTTATTTATAATTTAAACCATTTATATACACTTGTCAAACGTGCTTAGATTTTGTATTTTGATAATATTGTCAGGAGGATTATTTTTTTCATTTTCTTGACACGTAAATAGAGGACGAACAAATAAATGTACCACACATTCATATTCTGAAAGAAAATAATTAAAAAACATACTCCTCATCCCATTTCTGGCTGGACACAGATTAAAATTAGAACCTAGGGAAGAAAGACAGGATTCAGCAGTCATGAATGCACAATATTGCATATGTCGTTTAATTTATGTTTTCAAAACCGGACTTGAATGGCCAGTCCGGAAAACAGAACGGTTGTTGACTAAACTTGCAGTAGTCCAAAACCAGTGGGAAAACTGGCCAACTGCGTGGTCAAGCCAGTACCCATTTTTCTGGTTTTCCTGGCTTGTAATGTTTAGAAGATAAAATAAATATTTTGGTGGAGAAGCAGATTGAAGAGGATGGAGACTTGGAATGAGAAATATAAATGTTCATATACACGTGTGTGCATATACGTAGAGAGAGAGCACCATGGTTCAGATTTTTGGACAGCAGCTTCTTGTTGAAGTAAGGCTTCGAGATGCAAAGAAAACACTCCGTATGGATTTTGGTCATGGTTGGATTTGAAGAAAATATAAGTTGTTTGAAAGCGTATAGATTTAGCCCATGTTTGGTAGGGATTAAAATCTAAATTTTAATATAAATCAAAGTCAACAATTAATTTTTATCACATATTTCACGGGACCCACATCTTTTCAACCATTCATTTCATCAACTTTTAACAAAGTCTGCTAAAAACTGATTTTAATCCCCATCAAACAAGGGGCTTATTATTTTTTTATGAATTAGACAGTCTTTATCACTTCAAAATTTAAAACATTTATCAAATTAATTAATTTAATCAATTATAATTTACTTCCAAATCAACACTGATTCAACCTTTTAACCCTAAACCTTTCTATTTAACGGTCGATATCTAGGTCGATTTTAAAAACATAGAGTTAATAATGTGCTGCTTAACTTTTCCTAAAAGAATAGACAAGAAGTCATAATTTTTGGTCCAAACAAAATCGAGTTTACATGCCAAACTCTGCAGATGTAATCCATCACCGATTTCTTATTGCATAAGGTTAAATATGTTAAAAAGAAGTTGCTATGACTCTCATGCCTATTACTAGTTTGAGATATTCATGGAGATGGTAATCTCAATCAAACCCTTTCTTATACAAGAAATCAAATCCAATGGCTCCTAGGGGCTAGGGGTGGACAAAATGATCAAACGAAATCAATCGGTTCGGTTCTACAAAAAAATTAATAGTTTTGGTTCTTAGAAGTTAAAACCAAGAACAATTTGGTTCTGGTTCCAGTTCTAGAAACTGAACCAAACCAAGAAACACGCTCAATATTTTTATTAATTTTCCATGTATATATTACAAAATAGTTAATCACACCAAAATTTCAACTTTTGTCAATGACTCATTCGTCTACATTATTAAATCATTGTTATTAGACGATATTTTGTATGGGTATGGAACTAGATGTTTGTGTAATCAAATTATGTGGTTTGTTTGTTAATTTGGACTTTTTGTGAATGAATTTGATCACACTATTTCATTTGAAGTTGATTTTGTTGAATGTTTAATGTGTTTTTTTTTTGTTTAAGCATATATTACTAACTTATGGATGTAGTAATAGATTTTAATTTACATTTATTATTAGAAAGTTTAAGTAACTGAACCAGAATCAAACCAAACCAAACCAGAACTGAATGATTCGATTTCGATTTGGTTCCATATCAACAAAAAATAATAATAATAAAATAAAATAGATTCCATTATGAATAAAACCTATTGGTTCATGATTCAGTTCAGTTCTCTTGAAAGTTGAAACAGAACAAATGGAACAATGTTCACCCCTAATGGCTCTCCCTAATTCAGTAACCGTTTAATTTAATACTTTTCAAAATCCACCTATAGATTGCATGAAGAAACCTTAGAAGACACAACACCTGACCAAGTCTGTCTACATAAGCACACAAAATATATGAATTGAATTTCTTAGGCAGCAAAATTTGCGAATGAACTTGAGCACTGGACATTATAATATTGATTTACAACGCTAGACAAAAGTATGACATATATAAGGACAGATTATGCATATCAAAAATGTACCAGCAGAATTTCTTGTCATGAATCAATTGAATCAAAGCAAACACACATATGATGTTTACTCTTACAGAAAAATATTAAGGGTGTGTTTGAGCCACATTTTTTTGGAAGAATGTATTCTGAAAAGATTGACCGAGAATGTGAGGTTGAAAAAGAAAGAAAAGTTATTGATGTCATTGAAAATATTATTTTATTGAATAATGTGTGATTGAAAATGAGCGGAATTATTTTAACGTGTACCAAACGGGGCTAAAAGTTCAATTTGAATAGTAATTGTAAATCAAGAACACGGACTTTTTTCTAATACAAACATTAATCAACAACTATAACAAAATCCTGTCCCAAAATTTTAGATGTAAACGTGTAATGTGCATACTCATCTTCAAAATGAAATAAAGACAAAAAAGAGAAGGCATAATAGTAATTTTGCTTACCAGGGTCCGCCGGAACTCTTCTTCCGCGGCCTCTCTCTCAATAGCCTCGGCCTTCTTCTTCGCAGCCTTTGCAGCTTTTCTCTCCTCATTTGCGATTCTCAGTGCCTCTTTTTTTGCCTCATCCTTTCGCAATTTCTCGAGCCTCTGCAATTCCATTTCCTTGATGTACTCCTTCCGTATTTCCTTGACTTTCCGAGCGTAGTCTCGTCGTAGAAGGGAGAGCCGAGCTTCCGCCTGCTTCGGATCGCGGGGAGGCTTCCACGAGTTGATGAAGGTGCTCGGATGAAGGAACTCGTGGTCGCCAGAATGTTTTTTGACATGGGCCGTGGACGATGGGGATGGCGAGGGTGTGGGAGTGGTGGACAGATAGCGGAGGAGGAGGTGCTTTGACGATGGTTTGCGAAGGAAGGAGAGAGAGAGCGACATATCGAATGACGGCGGTGAGGGGGATTTGGGGAAAGAGGGAGAGGGAGAGGGGAGGTTTTACATAATTTATTTACTTTTAAGGAATTTTTTTATTAAAAAATGTAGCACCTCTCAGATTTAAATAAAAAATAATTGTTTAGTAAATTTATAAAAATTATTAAAATATATGAATGAAAAAATATGAATCCTATAAAACATATAATTAAAATTAATCATTAACTTTAATTTAGATTTTAATCTATTTTTTTAGCTAAAACAAGTCGGAGAATGCTTTTTTTTTCCATAAATCCTACTTGTGTTACTTTATAGTCTCCATTAAAAAAGATTTACAGTCGATTTAATTTATAAATAGATAGAAATAATTAACCAACAAGTGGATAGTATTTGAACCAGTCGGAATAATTCCAAGTACGTCGATTGGTCGTGAGTCAGCCCGAATCAAGAGCCTCGACTCAAATCGAGAAAGAGAATTATAAAAATAAATGTTACAAAAATTGAACGTTGTTCACATTGGCAAAGGTAGAATAACTTCGTTCCAGTTGGGCATTTCAATCTAAGAATTGATAACAACATCAACTCAAGAATGAAAAACTATGAAATTAAGAGCCCGTTTGTTTCTCATTTTTCTTCCATAAAATTTAAAAATATGACCGTTATCCATCACATCAAACCATCAATTTTAAATTTATATATCTTGTGTACAGCCCAATAATGTATTCAATTTAGCCCCTGTTTGACCCCATCATTCCTCATAATTACAATTCATTTTTCACTCTCATCTTATCAATCACACATTTTTCAATAAAATAATATTACATGTAAATTCAAATACTTTACTTTTTTTTTTTAACCACATATTTTCAAAAAAATTAATATGCTTAGCTCGATGCATCAACTCTCAAGACTTCATCTGCTAGATAATCTCAAGTACATAATTGACTTTTAGCTCGTGAAATAGGGGAAAATACTGAGTCATCAAATGAATTGCTTCAGAAACTCCGTCGCAACAAGCCTCCCTCGTGTGTTCACGGATAATTTTAATTCGCTTATTTCTTTATCGATATCCTGTAGTTCAATGCAGTTCAACAAAGAACGGAGAAGATTAAATAACCGATGCTGCCTATGTATTTTTGGGGGACCGGGATCTGATCAAGATTACTCACTCAAAACAAATAGCTATACTTTAACAATATTTATGCCAACAAAAGGGAAATAAGAACCTATGATGTTCAAGATCAGAGGATCACGCCCTTGGAAACAGTGCAATACTCATCATTATTCAGATGAGTTCCATAAGCACTTTCGAATAATTGGTTCCGTTAGGTGATCAGAGGTTTTAGGGCTATTATAGATACAAGTCTTTCTTATGTCACTTTGGAGGGTAATAGGTAGCACATTAGCATTTCAATACCTTTTGAGCTCTATAGCACGGACACTTCAATTAGGGTAGCGAGTCCTTGTCCGACACGAATCGATACCTACACTTCTCGGACACTCTACCGTAATCATTTTTCTTTTTATATTAGACTAGAAATATTATATGTTGTTAATTCAAAGTTATTAGCAAGTAACAAATAGATAATCATATTTAAAATATTTCAATAAGAAAAATTAATAACAAATATAAAACTAAATTTATACTATATAAATGAAGAATTTTTAAGAATTTAATCAACATGTCGTGTCTGTACTTTTTTTAAAAATCGCGTGTCGACATATCCAACACGTATCGTATCGGACACACGTGTCCGTATCGGTGCATCATAACTTTTGAGCATCCCGTTAAAATGAAATAGTGATGCAACTTCTTATAAAACTTGCATGACAAATACAAATAACCTCTGGGTTTTTTCAGATTTGGCGATCATATGGAATAACTAGTGAATTGCAACTCTATTGTACCGCAATCAGTGCATTGGTCTTTGCAGCGTTAATGCTTTTTGCTGGTTGGTTTCATTATAGAAAATAACTAAAGAGAGCTGTTTATGTGCCTAAATAAAATACTGAAGCTCTGTGAAGGTAGAAAAGATCACTACAACTTTTGATAGCCAGTTTTCTTGCTATTTGCAAATTAACTTGGATATTGAATCAGACAAAAAGAAAGCAACTAAGACGTATAATAGAGGTCCACTCATCGACTTTACAAGGGAATGGTATCTACTAAACAGCAGATGTTCTGATCCTTCGTCTTGGATAATAATCATAAGTTACAAATAAGCCCCCGTATGGCCCTCATTATTCCTCGTTAAATTATACTTCATTTTTCTCTCTATTCATATCAACCACACATTCTCCAATAAAATAATATTACACATAAATCTAAAAAAATTTCCTTCTTTTTTAACCACACTCCCTCAAAAAATTACTCTTCCTCTCATTATAATGTGAATAATGGGGGCCAAACGGGGGCTAAGTTGCACCAGTTTTCTCTATCCACTTTTGAGGCAATGAAAAGACTATCCTTAAGGTTTCACAAATCATAATTACTCCAGCGAAGATACCTTATGGTAATGGTACATATTTAGCTTCTTTACACACCAAAAGGAAACTTGGGGATTCATATACCATCTTCTTACTTGAACAGTTTCTTTATTGCTTATATTTTGTACCAAAAATGCATTAGAAAAAGAATATCTATACAAGTATATTAGCAAATTAGAGAGTTGACTGCATCAAAATATAAAGATTTCTTACCTCCATGAACTGCACAATAAAATCTATAAGTTTCTGCTTCTGCATCTCTTCACAGTGAGAATTAGTTATAAGAAAACTGATGTCATAACCCTGTAAAAATTACACCATTAACATAAACAGGTAACTTTATTAAAATTGCAGAATATAACAATACTTATATGGACTGAAATTGAACGGAAACAAGGAATTAAATCTGCAGAATGGAAATGGATTTGCAAATTGAGGCGTGTGTATTACACACTGTTCTTAAAACAAATTCGCAACCGAGCACTACTTGGTGTGGGGAATGATGGAAAAAGTAGCTTTAATATAAGCTAATGGCCCACGAATGAGTGGTATGAATAGCCAACCATCATAGGTGTTACACACTTAACACCACCAATAACTTCACAATTATATTTCAGTTTGAGAGTGAAGAGTCAATTTGGACGAAAAAAATTAGATAACTCATAGGAAATAAAAGCAAAATGTGGACACTCCTAAGGGGGCGAATTTTTACTTCATTCGGTTCAACATTCGTGTACATAGATCGCACTAGCACACGAGTTCAAGGTTTGGTGTACAATTTCGGGCCTTTATTTACACCACCCCTCCCCTGTGCACGCACGTGGAGAGAGTCTCTGTGCTACGCATGATTACACCCTTCCAAGGTGTAATCACATATAAAGTGGTCATTGCTTTGTTTATTTTCCTATTTAGGACAAACTACACATAGCTTTCCCTTTAACACAAAACCATGTTCCAAGGCATCAACTTTGAGTTTCAATTTCTCATTCACCCAAACATTATTCTTGGCAAGTACATATATGATTTCGATGTTCTCGCGGAGAACACAAATCAACCTTCATCTTCCAAATTGATCGAACGGGTCCCACTCAAAAGTATACCAAAAGTGGCCTATTCAGCCAATTTTCCAACAAGAAGAGTGTCGAAAGTATAGTGATGGGCATAGCAACAATAATAATTCGTAGTCTAAGAACGACCCAAACCTTTTGACAATATGATGACATCAATGTTATGTTTGATAATTGTTTTTATGTAAGCCCATTATTTAGATAGTATTTATTGGTCTAGGCATCTCTCATTTTCATTTTGCTACATAATAAAACCTGTAATGCTAATATTCATTTCTCAAAATAAAAATAGGGAAGAATATTCAATGCACAACCTGATGCAAAATTTAGTACGGTGTGAAATTTGAATCAAAAGCCACAAAGATTCTCCAATTGAACATCTGCTTTTTATGTCGCTGTACTTTCTTCTTTCGCAAGATATGAGTAAGGCCATATATTCCAAAACAATTCCTATTACCTCTGTTTTTAATTTGTGAAGTAGGAAATACAGTTAGAAAATCATCAGCTGGAACAAAAAGAAAAAAATTTGTACCTGTACTGGCTTTCTCCTCAACACTTGAAACGCTTCTGCTCTCATTGATAAAAATCTAAGGAACTTTTTCGTCAGTATGTTTTCAAGTTCATCTGCCTGCTTTACCTATCCAATAACATCAAAATACACTAATAAGGGCATGCAGATTTGTAAATTTGTTATTTTGTAGGGCTCTGCATTCCCCCATAAAGAAACGAAGAGCTCTAAAAAAAACCTTCATAATTAGTTCAATCACTTTTAGGTTCAGTCTGACCTTTGTTATTACCATTCACGAGCTCAAATTTGAACAGAAACTAAATTAACGGGAATTTCATATGAGCCTGGATACAAAATGAATGAGCAATTGCGTAACATCAGTGACCACACCCCTGATGAAATTCTTCAATGGATGGTTGTAGGTCCCTAATTAGCACAAGTTTAAGTCTTGTATCTTGAGTATTTTCCCCATCCCTTTCAGTAAAAAGGCATGGGTGTAAAAATTTTTAGTTCTAGTGGGACATTCGAGACTCCCCATAGGTTTTTTTTTTGGAAAAGAGTAGATAATCATATTAAGGAGTGAAATCAGCTGCTCCAATGGAACTACTTAGGACATATGCAATGGTACTCATGCCAAATAGATGATTTTGCAACAAGTGTGAAAGGTCTAACCTCAATCCTCGAATTGAAAGGTGGAAGAAAAATGAAAATCAATTAATGCTATGTTGCCTAAATCTAGGGCTGTCCGTGGGTCGGTTCGGTTCGGTTCTGAAGAGACCCGAACCGACCCAAAACTTTCGGGTATTTAATAAATGGACCCGTCGGGTCCAAATATAATTATGGAACCATTCGGGTTCGGTTCGGTTCGG